GCAGTAGGTAGTTACTTCATTCTTCTCATTTCATGCTAATAAATCTAATCCCTGCCTTGAATGAGCAGCCACAAGTGCGAGTGAAGACTCCGTGCACTCTTCAGCCTGAGGAGTTTCACACCCACCTTTTCTATCTCCTTGATAAACGCCTTCATGGCAGCTCTGTAGGCTCAGTGGGAAGTATTCTGCCCCTCCCTGATCACAGCTGGTACACCTTCTCTCAGGGTGTACACTGCTCTTTTCCCAGGGAGAAAGCCAGGCTGCCAAGTGCCTCAGCCCTGCTGAAGCTGCAGTTCAGGTGCCAAAGCCCTTTGTATCTTTAATCACACTCCAGGCTGGCCTTGGCTCAGGCTATATTTCACAACTCTCCTTTGTTGCCCCAGCAGCATTTCTGCACCTCACCCACATCACTGCTCAGGCATTTCCCTTCAGAGCCCTCCTCCTCTGGAACAATAGCCAGGATTTCCTTAAATCGCTGCAGTTTTACCTGTGTTCCATTATCTCCCCCCACCAAATGATAATTGCAGATTAATTAGCATACTTAATCAGCCACAACTAACATGTAATTACACCTAGATTTAATTATTTCTGTCTGGTCTAAACACTTCTACAAGACCTGATAAGCTTAACTCTAGGAGAACCAGCGTGCTCCCAGTACATTTTTATGGCCAGCTTTTATTGCTACTGACATTTTCTGCTCCTCTCACTTTCTCCATTGCCTTCAAGTTTTCATTCCCAGCTCATCTTTGCTATGCACTTTTTCAGACCCAGTTCTCTGAGGAGTTGTGGTGGACCTGGGGCTACTCAGGTGTGGTAACACCACCCTTAACAGGTATGTGCAACTCCTCTAATTTAGCAGAGATTGAAATGAGGTGTTTAACCCTGAGTGAGCTCTCTGTGCCAACACACCTTCCTTGGGAGGATGTGCAGGATCTGGCATCCTCTTCTCATGTATGTAATTTCTCTAAAGTCTCAATTGAGAATAGTTAATTACTGCTCAGCTGCAGGGTCATTGCCCTCCTCCTTTTAAGTCTGTGTTCAGCCAGGCAGAGAGCAGACAGGGAATCTTCTCTGTCGTGCTTCCTGTCAGCCCTATCTATCCCAGGAAACGCATGGTACAATTCCAGCAGTTTCTCTCTCTTGTCCTTTGCTCCTGGGCCTCCCCAGGTCCCATTAGCCACTGCCATGTGAATTGCAGGCTCCTGGCTGCTCCTGAGGTTCCCCCAGTTTGAGAAACCCTCTGAGGACCAGGCTGATTGTGTCAGCACCAGAGCCACTCACTCAGCAAGTGACACAACAACAGTGGCACATCTTAGCCAAAGGGAGCCCACACTGCGGGGGAGGGAGGAGGACACAGTTCTGGCCACAGCAGGCCATAAAGAGTTGATTATCCTGCAGGCTTGAGCACACTCACCAGTCACCTACTGCCAGCTGCAGTGCGAGGAAGGGCAGCAGTGTCACGACCTTCCCACTCAAGTGTAGTCTGAAAGTTCCCCACCAATTACGAAGATGCCTTGACCTCTTTCAAGCTGCCTGTTCCTCACTCAGCTGGATAAAGGAGAGAAGCCATGTGGATTCCTGCTGTTCATCCCTAGCCAAGGTGGACTATTTCAGACTAAAGCTTTCCCTGTCTGCTTTAAGCCCTTTAGGCCTTGTTCTGATTCTCCACGGGGAAGCTGCCAAGATGAATACAGCTCCAGGAATGGGTACTGAGGGAAGGGCTCCTACCTGCACTGGCTCTGCAATGTGCTGCTATGAGGAAAATATGAGGAAAAACTGGCTTTTAAGCAGCAGAGTATAACTTTTTTTGAGGATACAAGGAGCTCCTGTTACCGAAAAGGATTCAAACCCAGCTGCCCTCATCCATGAAGTGCATCCACTTGCTTGCAAGTGAAACAGAGCAAAACTAATGGGAAGGGCTGTCCAAGCATCCCTTGAAAAGGGCAAAGGCCTGAGGATGCAGGCAGAGGTAACGTGGTCACTGCCGAGCTCCTGCCAGGCTCACCTGCCTGCAGGTACTGTGTGCTCTGTGCTGGGTACCCAGCACATCCCATGCTTCCACTCCAGGCTGCTCCCAGCTGGAGCTGGGTGTCCTGGACTCCCTGTGCTAAAAGTCCCTGTACAAGGAGCTGCTTCCCAGCAGGCACAGACGGTCTGGGAGGTGAGAAGAGCTGCATCAGTAAGTCCAGCTCCCCCCACATATCCAGCTCTCACCCAGCTGCCCATGTCCCCAGGACTGCCTGCAGCCACATGCTGACAGCTCTGGTCCCTAAGGACCATGGCGATGGTGGCAGCCCTTGCCATGGCAACCATCACCGTGGCACCCAACATCTCCATTCCCCAGGGAATGTCCCCTCCCCTGTGCAGACAGGGCTGGAAAACAGCAGGGTCCTGGCAGGGAAAAAAACAAGTGTTGTCTGCTCAGGAGGAGCTGTCTAAAAGCACCCGAGGGTCACCCAGGAGGGAGCACCTGCACCTTGGGTTGCTGCCAGTGTGCAGGGGGGGTGTGCAGTAATTTTATATTCCTCAGCAACTCTCCAAGGGGCAAATCAAAGGACCTGTAATCACCACTCCAGTGGGCATAAAAACATTGTCCAGCAGTTACAGTAATATCACTGGAGGGGATCAAATCAGTGAGCCAAGGGTGTGAGCCAGCACTGTGGGGTCACAGACCCTTATAAGCTGTGTAGGAGTGGGGATGGGGATGGGATTGGGATGGGATGGGCCACCACTCTGTACCAACCCCAAGCCCAAACTGCACATTCTCTGCAGGATGGAGAGAAGTTTGACCACTGAATGACTTGGCCTCTCACTTGCCCTGACTTCTCTTCCCTAGCCCTGGCCTAGTGCTATCTGGGGATGCTGCTGGAAAAAGAACCATTTTCCACCACCCCAGTGGCTACTCTCACACTGACCCCTTGATCTCTTTGGTGCTGTGCCAGAGACTGATTCAAGACAGCTGCTATTGCCTGCTTGATCTTTCATTTATCTTCTCCCCATCCTCAGCATTTTTCCTCCCGGAAATCCCTCGGGGCAAAGAGGGAGGCCCCAGACAGGAGCTGAGCCCCTCAGTCTCACCATGTGCAGGGCACGCCCCTCTCAGGCCACGCTTTTGGCCCCAATGCCATAAATCAGCCCCAGCAAAGCAGCGGGGGAGCAGTTAGGTGAAAGGCTGCAGGGACAGCAGTACCTTTATTAGGTTCCCCCAGCACAGCTGGAAAAAATAAGGAGCCCAGACAGGCTTTCAGGCACATAACCCCTGAGCTGAGCCCCACATCCAGTCCTGTCTGCTGATTTAATAAGAGATCAGCTTTCCCCACAGACCACATCTCCTGTGTAGCCTTAACCCCTCCTGGTTAAAACACTGCCCCAGCGAATCAATCCAAGATGGTTTTGGCCCTTTGATCAGCACAGCAGGTAATAAGTTACCGATGGAAATGTGTTTCACTTCTCTGGCTCCAACAATAGAAATGGAGACAACCCTCCCATCCTGAACTGCCTGGTGAAAATCTCACAATTCCTGGGCGAGCAGGAGATGGACAAAGGGATTGCAGTGTGGCTCTGGAGGTGCCCAGGGACACACAGCAGCACCTGCGTGTCCAAGGTGTGAGCAAATTCCCTTCCCACTGGAATCCATCCTGATCCTCCAGACAGCCACAGCACCCCTCCCAAACAGCGTTTGCAGTGCCTGTCTAATTGTGGTGATAAACACGTAGGGAGAAATAATTGCCTGGCAAAACCAGTGAAGGCTGGTCAGGGAGGGAAGCTGCCACCTGTCAGCCAGGAAATCTGGGCCAGATCCCAGCTCCAGCACTGAGCTGCTGAGGGACTCCCACAGGTCCCTCTGGGCACACAGGACTCTGAGTCACCTTGCAAAGCTGTCTCAACTTTAATGACTCTAATGTTTCTAGATAACCCAGAGCATCAAAGATGTGCTCCTTAATTCCTTGCTTTTGCTCATTTCCAGCCCTCTGTAAACAGGAGTGCACATGAAGATTTCACATTATAGAATTGTGAAGATTTCTTCAAATCCCTTTTTTAAAATAAGGATTCATTCTTATTTCCCTGTATTTAAACAGGATTATTTAACTCTTCATTGAAGTTCTGTCTCCTCCTCCAGGGGAGGATTTCACTATGTGCTCCAGAGATGTTAAACTCCCTCTGAGTTGAGGGAGGAGGCAGAACAGTGCAGTGTGGAGGTAGTCACTGTGTGTCAGGCGATATCTGTCTGCCAGACTGGACTGCAGAAAGCTGGAATGAGCTCAGAAGGTGGCTTTTGATCTCTCAGCCCTCCAAGCACCCTCCAAGTGCTTCTGCCCCTGAACACTCAGGACATTCTAGCCCAGGACTGAAAGGGGACTGAAATGGGCTCATTGCTTTCAAGGACCTATTTTGTGCTGTCCTGGCTCTATTTACTATTTTTTATTGTTACATGAGGGTGTACACTGTGGAAGAACTGTCCCTGTTGGATGAAACTCCTGGGCCAAGCTGTGGAGTTTGACCTGGATGACGCCATTCCCAAACTGCAGCTCCTCAGGGACAAACAGCAAACATTTGGCATCGAGTGCTTTGAGCAGGTCTTTGACCTCAGTGTGGCTCTCCCGAGACCTTGTGGTGCCTCCTGCAGACTCCACTTTGGGCAGGTGAGGCCGAAGAAACGCCGAGGCACAGATGGAACAGTGGATTCAGAAAGATGAGGAATTCCCAGCCAGCACCTGTGGAGCTGAGGGCTGTCTGCCATAACCACACTCTGGACATGACCCAGCTGTCCAAAGCCATGACCAGCGGGGAGGATGGAGCTGGCAAAGGTGCTGTTTGAGGTGATGAAGGTCAGTTCTTCCAAGAGCAGGATGGACAAGTGCTCACCGTCCCTCTGAGCCGGTGGGACAGCAGCAAGTTCCACAGCAGCAGCCTCTCCCAAGAAACCTAATCAGTCTTCCAGGCCCTTGCTAATTAGGAAGGGACGCCCGAATCCTGACTGTGCCAGCCCTGCGTGTGCCATGTCCCCGTCCTGGTGCCACCCACCGCCCCCCGCTTCAGCCACTCCTCCCGGCCGCCAGGTGGCGCCCGCCGCGCCCGCCGGAACCATAGAGAGCGGCGCGCGCCTCCCGCCTTCCGCGTGTGTCCGCCCACGTGACAGGGAGGGGCTCCCCATTGGCCGCGCCGGCGGGGCCGGGCGCGCGCCCCCGCGGCTGTAAGTGCGTGTGCACGTGTGTG